ATTTCTTTCTACGGTTATTTATTCTATATAGAATGTATATCAGTAAAAAACACATTACGCTTTGAAGAAAGAAGAAAATATGTGAATACCATATTCATCAGAGATAGGATACTAAGTAAAATATTTGGTACTTTTTGTACTTTGTACTAGTAAATCTCAGTAAAAATAAAAATGTTTTAGTACAAGTAAATGTACTTGTACTTAGAAATTATTACTGGGTACTGATTTACTTAAGTACAGTACTATCCGTACAAAATGTACTTTAACAGTTTCTTAAAAATAGAAATTTCTATGCTGACGCTATTGTTTTGTATCTAAATGTTATTTAAGACTATGTTAACATCGAATTATGCTCAAAAATAAAAGTACTTAGCATGTGTACTTGAAGTACTGGTACTTAAGTATAGTTGTACTTTTTACTGGTACTAAGTAGAAAATACTTAAGTAAAAAGTTACTAAGTAAAGTACAAAGGAAATGAAAGCAGTACAAAGGACTTATATTTGTACTTGCTGTACTAGTACTCGTCCTATCTCTGTTATTCATAAGAGAAAAATATTTCATGGCTTGTTTTTATTAAAAACATCATTAATTATCGGAGCTGTTTATGTGCCACCACATAAGAAACCTCCTATTGATGAATTTGAAAAATTCCTTGATAAAAATATATATTTATTTGGCGATTTTAACGCACATCATACCGATTGGTTATGTGAATATAACAACGGTAATGGAATACTATTAAATGAATGGATGGAGGAAAATGGATTGACAATTATGTCTCCAGATAAACCAACATCCAGAAGATCAAAAGGAATTATAGATTTTGCAATCTCAAATGATAAAGCTGGTTGGACATATGATGTAATTGATGAAGGAACATCTGATCATTTGCCAGTCATATATTCTTCTCCTTTCACTTTATCAGAAAAATGTTGCTTTCGTAAAACAAATTGGAAAGTCTTTTCGTTCGTTCTCTCCTCTCTATTTACATATTGGAACGATTCAGTATATAAAATAGACGAACAAATTTTCTTCTCTATATTTTCTACTTTTCTCGCATCTCTATGGGATCGAACAAGTACATATTTACCAGCCATTAAGTATAAACCACCATGGCCACGTTTTCTTGTTTCTCTAGCGAAAGAAGTAAATCGAAAAAGACGAAAATATAGACGTACACGCTTTCTTTTTCACCTCGATGAATACATCTCGGCAAAGCATGAATATATAATAGAAAAAGCAATATTTGAACAAGAAAAAAGAGAAAAACAAATTGAATACATATCGAAAGGTCAAAATGTTTGGCAATATGTTCGCACATGTTTTCGTGCATATACTCCACCATTTCAAGGCCTAACAATAAATGGAAAAATTGAAAGAAATCCTCAAATAATAAGCGATAAGTTAGGAATATATTTTGAGAAACATTTCGCTCAACAATCACCTGATTTCATAAATGAAAAATTTAATAAATATCTAACAGAATATAAAAATATAGCATATACACCGAATATACCACTAGATCAAATAACATATGCACAAGTATACTTAAATTGGAAAAAATTCTCGCCTAAAAAATCTTTAGACAGTATGAAAACATCAGCATTTCTCTTAAAAAATCTTCCACTTGAATATATAAGTATTTTTACAGTGCTATTTAATAAATGCGCCTCAAAAGGAAACGTCTTTGAAGAAGCAAAACATGCAAAAGTGATTTGTCTATCTAAAGAGGGGTTATTTCCTGAAGAAAGTAAATTACGTCCTATATCTCTCTTACCAAACATCGGAAAATGGTATGAGCGCTGCATTCACGATAAAATTCTAAAATGGTGCGCAGAAAAAAATATATATACTGATGAACAGTCCGGCTTCACTCCTCAACGTAGGCTGCAAACGAGAATATTAACTCTTTGTGAAGACTTAAGACTTACTACCGTAGCTTGTAATCGACCTGCTCTTGTTATTTTCATTGATTTTTTATCAGCTTTTGATAGATTATATTATCCAGCTTTTATATCTAACTTGATTGAACTTGACATGCCCCTCCCTCTAATACGTTGGATTTATCAATGGTTACAAAATAGATCAATAACGATTCATCACGGCAACTCAAACTCAAAAAAAATAAAAAATTTTTCAGGAGCTCCCCAGGGGTCAGTACTATCTGCTACACTATTCCGTCTACATATCCATTGTTTACCGAAAATGTTAGCTCGTTTCTCTTCTCATCTATTTGCCGATGATGTTGCACTAATTCTAAAAGGATCAATAGAAAAGAAATTATCAGAAAATATTGTTGAATTAGAAGAACAAGCAAAGATAGCGATGAAATTGTTAGAGAAATTTTCGGACGACATATTGTTGCCAGTAAATGCAAAAAAGACGAAAGTAATGCTAGTGCACACTGCTGTTGCACCTAAATATCCAAATGTATATTACAAAAATGAAAAAGTAGAATTCGTCTCATTTTTCAAATATCTAGGCGTAGAGATACGTACAAAAATGGGTTGGGGTTCTTTCATAACTAAAAGAATAACTAAAATAAGAAATGTTTATAATGCTCTAAGAAAAATGTATCGTACAATACCAATTGAAAAAAATAATATAAGAAAAAAACTTTTTTATGCATTTGCGCTACCACACTTTTTTTGGTTATTTTCAATCTGGTTCTTCTTTACAGAAAAACAGAGAGAAAAAATAGAACATGTATATTGCTCGGGTATTCGACTAATAAATAATCTATGGGGATGGGATGACTATACAACACTAGTCATAGCGCAAGAAAAATCACTTCTCGATTATGTGTATGACTACTGGCAGAAATTTATAAAACATATATTTGAATCCCAAGAAGGAAAAGAATATAGGGAGACTTGGGAAGCCTATCTTATATGTACAAGTACAGATAAAAGCTTCTATGAGTCTATGGAATTAAGTAAAGATAATTTCTTTTTAAATCGTTATGCACAGAGGGCACATCATACGAATTTAGATATTTTTTCTTTCTTTTGTTACCATGAGAAACAAAAAGATTATTTTAAAAAATCAAATGTAGAAGTTAGAAATTTCATTAAAAAATATATTGAACCATCATAATAATATATTATATTATCTGTCGTTTATTTTATTCTTTTTTCTCTCTCACGTCTTTCTCTTCTTAACCTTAACCTTTAACCCTTCTTTTCTTTTCTCTTTCTATTATTTATATAATACCAAACTTTCTATTTCTCTACTGTTAAGTTATATATAGCTATATAGCTTCACGAATGTATGTCTATAACACGCTCATAATGATTCACTACTTTCGATTTCTCTTCTCTTCTTGCATGTTTAATGTCTTAAGATCAAAATACGTCGCAGGAGGTGTGACAAAGATCTAATTGTAACTAATTTAATTCACCTTTTTTTTATGAATGTATATCTTGATAACCCTTATGGGATCAATAAACTAATATGTCAAAAAAAAATTTCATGGCTTGTTTTTCATCAAATAGATTAGATAACGATCGAAGTGATTTTTGAAACTAAATGAAATATTATCACGATGATTGTTAATTTTGTCCGCAAACGATCATTATTGATTTACAGATTTATATCGATATGAAGAAAGTACAGTGAAACGATAATTATAATGAAATTTTATATATGAAAAATAAAATTCTATTGTTATTATATTTTTCATATTTTTCATATATAAAATTTCATTATAACTATCGTTTCACTGCATTTTCTCTTTATTTGACTTTATTATGTTGCTATCAAGTTATCTATTTTATTATTATATCGACATTTTTGTAAAATAAATCTTTCGCTATCCATTTACACTGAATACTTTACATTCTTCTCCATAACAATTATTATATGCGATGAAGTCTACTATTCAATGTATTCACATAGATGAATTGAAAAGTGTTTCTTCGTAGTATATTGATCATTATACCACAATTCAACAATGTATACCTTCAGTCGACTATGTCAACATCTACTATACGAAATCATACAATTGCTAAACGATATTTATTATTTTAATTCTATTGTAACAACAATACAATTTAAAGACTAAAAATTTTCTCGTAGATCTTGCGTATAATTCATTTGATTAAATTACTGATTTATTGCTTAATTTTAAGTCATCCGCAATATTATTTTTACTAGTATAAGACAGCTTTCCCGCGAACAGTTGCTTATTTATCTTTGTTCTCAAATGCGACTTGTCAAGGTCTATGTTATAAAAGATTTTAAATCTATTTTTAAATATGAATCTCTTTTTAACGTTTTATATAACATTACGTAGTATTTTATATCTTGTTGTTAAGTAGAAACAAAATTGAAAAGAACGAGAAATAACAGCTAATTTGAACAGTTTTCTGCGTCTTTCATATATATTTAACCATTGAAATAAAGGAATATAAGTGCTTCGTGTTCTACAACGTGAAACGTGAGAAAAGAACGAAAACAATTATTTGAAGATTGTTTTTTGTTTGTCAAAATACGCAGTGAAAAATTTCTTTTCACGGATTATTTTAGTGACTGACAATCATAAAAATACTTTACCATTAGTTTTTCGTTCTTTATTTATTACTAGGGAATATCCATGTTGATCTTCCAATGCTCATTTAAATATTTTTTTTCTAGAAACGCATCACTAATGAAACATTAGAAGGCTCTGAACGCGTTTGATATTAAATATTAAAAATTTAAAAAGTATATTATAATCCATTACAAATTCAAATTAAGTTATCATCGTCGATGTTTATTGATGATCTTAGTCTTATTTAATAAATGGATTAAATTTTATCTTACACGATAATAATGATCAAGTTTGTACAAATGAACCAGTGATCAGAAATCTTTTACATAATTGCTGAATTAAACGAGGTCGAAATCTTTTCTTGTTCACAGTAAAATATATTTGAATGCAAACTTCACTGCTTAAATACTGTATTTTACTTATTTTTTCAAATAATTTTATAGTTTTTTTTATATTGTCTACTAAATACGATTAGTATTATTGGGAAAATTTTTAAGTGAGGCAGTAACACGATAAATAATTTTATCGAAGAATGTAATGAATGAATAATCATTCATAAAATTTGTTACTCATACAGTTTAAACAGTGGTATTCATCAGTTTGCTACAAGGGTGTTGAACATCTGAAAACTATGGCGATATTATCCCTCATAACTACTTGTACAAATATTGGAGAAATATCGATTGTATCCCTTATATTTAATTAAATTTTTGTCTATTTTAACGCCATCTGGACATTCTTTATTACAATGTCTAATAAAGCTTAGACAAATAGAAGATATTTAAATAGACGAGTTCGATCACATGCTTTATCCTTCTAGAGCAACAATTTCTACAGTAAAATCTGATCTGAAGAGTAAGAAATGAACACATACAAATGTACTCAGAAATAAGATCGCATCCGAATATGATTGAAAAAATATGCGACGCATTTAAACGCGTTGAGAGGCAATTAATTTTTTCTAGTTGCGCTTCAACGCGTTGTATAGAAACAGTGCGTCAAAACCCGTTTCAAAAGTTTTTTTTAATTCCGTATCGATGTATTTCTTATCAAACTACATTTACATGCAGCGTGAAAACATTTTTAATTGCGACTCGACGCGTTTTTGTTTTGTCAATCTGTGTTTCGAAGCATTGATTTTGCATTTCGTGCGTACATGAGTTGTTTTTCATTATGAAATATATAATTATTAGCATAAAACGCGTTGTCCGACAATTAAAAAATCGAAATAACAATCTAGATAGGAAGTAGAGACACTATTAAATGATGCACTTTCGTGATTCTTTCCCTGCGAATATTTTTAAGCTACTCAAATACAATACATTCATATTAGAAATAACAAATTGACAAAATCAATGGCAACTAACAAATTAGATAGTACAAAAATATTTGAGTCAGTATCTGGTCTTTCCATGAGTGCAATTGCAAATCGACGTATGAACATGCAAAGAATGCAAAATGTCCTTTTAATTTGGTTGGACAACAATATCAATGATGATAATGCTGATTGTAGGAATACAATCAAGCAATTGAAATGTGTAGTTAATAACGTAAATACGTTTACTGATCATAAAGAATGTTTTGAATTTATTCAAACTATTACCAACAATAAGGTATGCATGATTGTTTCCGGTTCACTTGGGCAAAATATTGTGCCCTGTGTACATGCTATGTCCCAAGTAGATACCATTTTTATATTTTCTAATAATCAAGAATCGCATAAACAATGGACCAAAGAATGGCCTAAAATAAAAGGAGTCTTCACAGATATAACATTAATTTGCGAAGCTCTTAAACAAACTGCTCATCAATGTGAGCAAAATGCCATCTCAATCAGCTTTGTGGCATCAAACAAAAAGTTGGATCAATTAGATCCATCCTTTATGTATACTCAGATCTTGAAAGAGATCTTATTAACTATCAATTTCAAAGATAAACATTTCAAAGAATTTATTACTTATTGTCGTGAAGCATTTGCCGAAAACGAATATGATTTACATAATATTAAAAAATTGAAACGTGGCTATCGTAATCAAAAAGCTATTTGGTGGTATACTTATCAATGTTTTTTATATCCGATGCTCAATCAAGCATTAAGATTAATGAATGTTGATATTATTGTTCGAATGGGTTTCTTTATTAAAGATCTACATCGTAATATTCAACGACTTCATTCGAAACAATTTGATGGTGAACAATCTGATACAACATTTACAGTTTATCGTGGGCAATGTCTTTCAGAAGAAGATTTCACTGAAATGACAAAAACTAAAGGTGGACTTCTTTCATTTAATAACTTTTTATCGACTAGTAGAAATCGTACTGTTTCTCTCTTATTCGCATCAAAAGCTGCTACAAATCCTGATGTTGTTGGAATTCTATTTGTTATGTCCATTAATAATATGAATTCAACAACTCCATTTGCTTCTGTTAGTGGTGTTAGTTATTTTCAGATGGAAGATGAAGTTCTCTTCTCTATGCATACCATTTTTCGTATTGAAGATATTCAATCAATGGATGCAAATAATCATCTTTATCAAGTGAGCCTAACATTGACCAGCGACAATGACCAAGATCTTCGCACTCTTAGCGATCAGATCCGGAAGGAGACTTATCCAGATCAAGAAGGATGGCAAAGAATGGGATTATTACTGATAAAAATGGGTCAATTTACCAAAGCTGAAGAAACTTATCAAGTTTTACTTCATCAAACAACAAATGAGAGTGATAAGGCACCGATTTATTATCAACTAGGTTGCATCAAATCTAAACAAGGAGAATATCAAGAAGCACTATCATCTCATAAAAAAGCTCTTATAATTCAACAACAATTACTTCCTTCCAATCATCTTGATTTGGGTGATTCCTATAACAGAATTGGTAGTGTATATCACAACATGGGTGACTATCCAAAAGCACTTGTGTCTCATGAAAAAGCCCTTGCTATTCGAAAAAAATCACTTCTTTCTAATCATCCTCATTTAGGAGATTCGTATAACAACATTGGTAATGTGTACATAAGCATGGGTGATTATCCAAAAGCTCTTTCTTATTATGAGAAAGATCTTGGAATTCTACAACAATCACTTCCTTCCAATCATCCTGATTTAGCTTCTTCCTATAACAATATTGGTAGTGTGTATATAAGCATGGATGATTATCCAAAAGCACTTTTGTCTCATGAAACAGCCCTTGCAATTCGACAGCAATCACTTCCTTCTAATCATCCTCATTTGGGCGATT